TCTTCAAAGAGTAGGCAAAGCTAGCAGCAATGCAAAAATAGCTTATCTTGGCAGAAACAGTCATTTTCACGGGTCCGGAACTGAGTTGAAGACAGCATGATAATTGGAGAGATCATAGAACGAAGTTGACTAGTCCCTGTTGCCCCAGTTTCAGACGTTCCTCCCAACTCTAGTGCTCGACTGAGGGAGGCTAACTTTGACTCTACTCCCAATATATGTCCTTCTAATTCAGGTCGGTTTTAGATTGCATAAATTAATTAAGGCCTAATTATGCTACAGCAGCTAGTAATTAGCACCTACGATTTTGTTAGATATGACTACACAGATATAAAATCTTTCGATTTGCCGCGTGTAAGCACTAAACAGGACAAAAGTACTACTCTAGTACTTGCAATGGGTCCTTTGGAGCTTCATAGGGCCAGATTTAAGTTCTATATTAGTTAATAAACACAGAAAAAAAAAACCCAACGCTAGCTATAATTCGTCCAAAACAAATCGACAATGGAGTACTACGCTTGCACGCATGATAAAAGTTAATTAGCAACGTTAACAATCACCAAAACATTGTTTTGAAGTCCTTAACGTACGACGCCACCATCGGATTGGTTGGCTTTTGAGTTGGCTCTTCTCCCACTAGACTAATCTCCTGAAAATCTAATTAATCTTTGCATTGGCCTGGTCCAAGTTGCTGATGACTAGGATTGGCACGATCAACGGATCAAGCCTAGATCATGACGAGAGCCATTTGCCGGTTGTCTTCTCCCAAGTAGGCTTGTTTAGCAAACTTGCTCTATTTGTTTTCGGCAACCAGCCAACCACGGCTCTTATCAAAATGGAAAAGGGAAAAAAGGTAAAGTCGCAATGAAGCCATCGAGGCTGATCACTGATCTGTTCTTTCTCTACCGATCGGCCGGTACGGTCAGTGTACGGCTCTAAAGAATCAGGCGAGCTCGGCGTTGTCGCGTTACCATTGCACTGACCCCAGCTAACCACTTGTTTAATTAACCCGAAAAAAATTGGACATGGTCACCTTCTTGATCGCTGCTGACTCATTTTTTTTGAGAGAGAGAGATGTAACATATGCAGTTGATGTAAGTATATTATTACTCTAATGCTAATGCAGTGGTTGGCCATTAGGTCAGTGCATGGCGATGCAACTAGCAACTAGGCAGCACCAGCTAGATGCTCATCGTCGGTTAGTGCTACTGTTGCCGTCATGTGCATATCAGCAGATGCATATGGAGTTTGTTTAGTAGCGAGGGAGCTGACTTTTTGAGATGGCAAGTGATCGATGGATCGAACGATACGATTCAGGGAAGCCCTATCAGGCTATCAGCCGATGGCGTGTAAAGTATAGAAGACGCTGATCAAGCTGTGCGTGCTCCTACCGTTCTAACGTACGAAAACAATATGCTTTTTGCTTGATTAAAAAAAGAAAAAAAATCCTGCCTTTTCACCCTACATACATGCATGCTCTTGCTTGATTAGAAAAAAAGACAAAAAAAAATCCTGCCTTTTCTCCCTACATGCATGTACATACATGCTTTTGCTTATTAGAAAAAACAAAAAAAATTAATCCCTCTAGAAAAAATATATTTGATGTATAGGATAAGATTTCGTTAAACTTTTAAATTCTAAATAATATTATGATAATATTTATTAGGAAAAATATACGATGCCACTTTTTAGTTTCTACACTAGCATTTAAGAAACTACTTATAATTAAAGTTTTATAAGTTTAACTGGTCCGAAACATTAAATATATTTTATTGAAGGGATATTGATCGAAGAGCAAGAGAAGGATAAATATCAATAATTATGTAGTGTATCTACATTTAAACATAGAGCTTACCTATTAAAAATACAAGATAAATAGTTCGGGGTCTTTAATGAAATGAAAGGATAAATAGATTTAATTTCCATGCGAATTCAAGTTAAACTCCTTGAGAAATAAAATTAAGAATAAGCTACTTGGGAGTTATTTTCGTGTTGTTTGACAGCTAAGGGGCCATGGCCAGCTTCCTTTGTGCTTGCGTAACTGTTCCTGTTAGCTGCAACGCTGTTGCAGCCAGGTAGCCGAGCAGTTACAATTTATTTTAGAAATGTTATTGGTAACTAATTATTTTACGCTAAGTATTTGCTTTCCTTAAAAAGTTAGCCAATCTCTGTAGGTAGCCGCATCCAGCTGGCTGGCTTCTCCATCTCATAGAGTATACAAATCGTGTTTATAATAGTCCTACTACCACTCTCAGTTAGTGCCGTACGGCACGCCCCGTAATTTTGAACGGCAACATTTCTTCCTAACTCTGCATCTCACCCAACAAGAGCACTTCATTCGTCAAAAAAAAAAAAAACAAATCTGTGATAGGACATGGACCAATCTTAATATATATATGGCCAAATTCGTAATACCAGAATATTACATTTAATATGGAGTAGATTGGTTTTTAATATATGTATGTCCAAATTCGTAATACCAGAATATTACATTTAATATAGAGTAGATTGGTTTTTTATGGAATGAAGAGAGTACTCAAGACTTGATTATGCAATAAACTACTGGAGTAATGGCCATCCTTGATTTTTTTGGTCTGAACTCTGAAGAAAGATTTCGCCCACACGTTTCCTACCAATAACATGTGACCAGTCCACGCAGGCTCTGGAGTACCGTGCAGGGTTTGGGCCATCCGTACCGTACCAGCAGTCCAGTCCAGCCCCAGTGCCCCACTAGCTCACTAGCACACGATTTTGCTAGGTTACACATGGCTTTCGCTGAGTGCAAGCGTATGTGTAAAGACGTGGATCCACCAAAAGGTGTGGCTCTATTTCAATCAAACTTATAAAGCCGATTAAGTGGTCTCTGTAGTACTCACTCTATCTATTTTTAATAGTAATATTTCATCTTGTCACATAGACTAAGGATAAGTAATTCTACTTATCATTCATATAAACATGCTACTAGTCATTCCTCGTAAACAAGCGATTCATTGATATTTACGTTTCTCAATGCCCATGTAGCCAATCATGTGTGGAAGAATGGAGAGTCATGCATTAAATCCGAGAAAGTCATTAAAATGATATGTTGTTGAAGTGAAATATGCTTATCAAAAATAAAACTTTTAGATTTGGAAATATGACTATCTAAAATAGATGGAGGAAGTACCATTTAAAGGAAGATTAATTGGGTTCACTCGTTTTCAAAGGCCTACATCAAACTTTACATAAAGTGAGAGAAATGCCCTATATCTCAGTAACCAGAATCTTCCAAGTGCAAAACCGAACTAGTACAAAGAAAGGAAAAGAATTTGCACAATTTCTGGCCAAACAATCCAGCACAGGCGCGAGTGACTCCGATCCGCACGTGTACTACTTGCTTTGCTGCTTCCAAATCTTCTACGACTACTAAACGTACCATGATAGTACATCCAAAGCGATCGAAACCGGAAACCTCCTCTCACGAGTCAAAAACAAGTTAACATCACGCTTGGAAACCGGGCACCCGAGCCATCTAGCAGTACACAAGTGTACCACTCAAGAGTACTACCGTTCCATGCATCCATCCGGCCAAAACGCCAAAGCGCGCAGTAGAAAACCAGCAGAAAAAAAAAATCCTCGCGAAAGTTGCCGTACGCACAGGGATGACTGACACGGCCGCTCTCCCCGTCGTTGCCACCTCCATGTCCCCTAGCAGACTAACCGGAGATGCCCCCGCCGATGTGAAACCGATCGGCAGCGTCCCGTACGCCGTAGCTTTCCGCGCGACGGAGGCCTCTACACGTTCGCCTTCGCACGCGTGCGCGCGGGGCCGTCGATGGATGGAGCGAGCTAAGAATCGAAGAATCGATGACACGGGCGCCGGTGTACGCTCCGGCCCTCCTTCGATCGGTTTCTTCCTGCCGACCTTCCACTTCCAACCAAGGCGTCGCCATCGGCAGTTTGGGTAGATATTGACGTGGGATTGTAGTGGTGCAGTGCAAGGGGTGTCCTTTGCTGGCGTTACTGCGTTTTGCTCGTTCGAGTGCGTACATTCTGATTTCTGCATCCTCTGGCTCTGTCCCGGGATTTGGACGTACGGCCTACGGCGCGTGTACGATTGGATGGACCGGGTGACGGGGTGAGTGAGGCAGCTTAACCAAATCGAACTCCACAAGTCACTGATGAATAATGCTGAGGAGCTGCACGGTCGTGGGAAAGTCTTCCAGCGAATTAAGGACGTCTTGGTTGAGAGGCGGTATCCAAATCAACCACTACACTAATAACTAGCTGCCTTCGTTTGCATTTTGCACGAGTTTGAGAGAGAGCAGCGGGGCCAGATCCGCATCTCGCGCTTTATTCGTTTCTATTTGACCGGCGAAATGTTACTTTGGACTTGTGGAGGATTAATATATAGAGGTGTTACCTAAAAGTTTCAGTTTGCAATTTGCCAGTAGTGTGCATGTTTAAGAAAATTATCTACGGGGGAGCTTTCCAAATTTTATCTCAGGGTTGCATGGTAAAAAAGGTTATCCATGGGGGAACTTTCATACTGTTTGCTCCCAAATGCTTTGATGACATGGATCCATCAGTACTTTTACGGTTACTAGTAGTACATTTCTTTAAGGAAAGATTATCGCCTCTTTCCCCCTTGCTCGCTTTGTCGACGCACTTGCCTACATCAACAGCACCGCTTTTTGACAGATATGACTGCGAAATATGATCTTCTACCGATTTGCTAGTAATGTACTCCTACGTAGTACGTAACATTGGATGCAAAACCATTGGTACAAGATTATCAAACGGAGGGAATTAAACGGACGAACTGTGTGTATCACATGGAAGAGCTCGTGAACAGAACACGTTGTAGCACTGTACGGTACCCGTCAGAGAAACCGTAACCGAGTAACCGACCACGCTCGGGAGGTCGCCAGTGGCCACATGACCGCAGGTCCGCAGCCGTCACACGAACCAATCATGCATAGATAGAAGGCCAAATGGACAAGCAGACACCAAAACCAGGCTAGAAACGAGAGCGAGCCTCGCGCACATGAAACCCCTCCGTTTTCTCGGCCTCGCACGGGGAAACGACCCGTACGCGCGCCACGCCGTGTCTGCTGCTCGTCTCCTATAAAACAACCCGTTGTCACGCTCGCCTTGCCATTACAACGTCGCTAGCTTCTTCCGCTCGTTTAGAAAACGCCACCACCACCAAAGTCAGGCACCCCCGCCGAGAGAGTTAGCTAGCTGCGCGCATGCAGGCGAGGCGGCACAGAGGATTCCGGCTAGGCCGGAAGCTGCTCGGGCTCTGGCGATGGGCGCTCTGCCACCGGCGGCGGCGGCGCGGCCGCGGCTACCTCCGCCTGCAGCCGTGCCCGGGAGCTGCAGGCGGCCGCTCCCCTCTGCTGGCCGCCGGGAGCGTCAAGAAGCAGCCGCCGCCGCCGCAGCAGCAGATCGTCGTGCATCAGCGTGGTGGGGAGAAGGCGGTGCTCAAGTGGGGGCGGTCGCTGGCGCGGCGGATGAGGCTCCTGCGGCGGCGGGGATCCGAGCGGCTCCTGGAGGAATCCCCCGGGGAGGCGACGACGCCCAAGGGGCAGGTGGCGGTGTACGTGGGCGGCGGCGAGCCCGGGGAGTCGATGAGGTACGTGGTGCCGGTGGTCTACTTCAACCACCCGCTGTTCGGCGAGCTGCTCCGCGAGGCCGAGGAGGAGTTCGGGTTCGCGCACCCGGGCGGCATCACCATCCCCTGCGCCGCCGCGCGGTTCGAGCGCGCGGCCGCCGTGGCCGCCGCGGGCGGCGGCGGGAGGAAGGTGCCCACCTGGTGGTAGCACGTGGCCAGGCCGCGGCCGGTGTACATACATACACACGTGTCATGTGTGCTCGATCGAGTAGGACTCAAACGTGTACGTGTATTCTTTTTTTTTTTGGTTTTGTTTTTTACTTCTTATTGTTCCTCCCCTTTCTGTGTGGATGCGCATCCATCTCTGCATGCGATGTGAGGAGGCCTAGTTAGATTTACAGACGGAGGATGCTACTAAAGTAATACTATAATTCTTTTTGACTCGATCAACGTGTTCGCATCTTTGCAATTAGGACTGTGTTTAATTCCACGTTAAAGTTGAAAGTTTGAAGAAATTAAAACGATGTGACGGAAAAGTTGAGTTTGCGTGGATAGGAAAATTTGATGTGACGAAAAAGTTGGAAGTTTGAAGAAAAAAGTTAAAATCTAAACAGGGTCTAGACGACCATGTTGGAGAATGAATGATAAAACGTGAACGTCCAGTGAGATCGATCCTGTTCATGATCTTCTTTAATTTGCTCCTCCGCACGAGCGACGAATTATATTGTTTTTTTTTGAGAGGACAAATTATATGTTCTTGTACTCCATAGGAGTAGTGTTGCTCCAGTTCGTGCAGGAATTGATTAAGCTGTGGAGTTCTAACGATCTGCTACTTCCTGCCGGCTTCCTGACCTCCAGTATCGCTGAAGCGTGTGCAGTGGTGAAGTACTTGCGTAGTCCGTACAAACTGGTCAGTTTGGCGATGCAGCAAGCAACTTCCACGCAAGTGGCCCGTGCTGTACTGTTAAGCCTTCCGAAGAGATGCTTGCATAGGCCCTGTTTGAAACAAAGAATGGACAACACAGGAACATGAAAATATACAGGAATAAAATATAAGGCTCTTTTGAAACAAATGATTTTAGAGGAATTTAATCCTACGAAAAAATTTCCTATGTGATCATTTGGGTCAAAGAAATAGCTATCCAAAAATTCTGTGAAATTGCTTTGGATTGGCTCAAAACATATAAATTTGGAAGAATTCTAACATGAGCTTCAACCTCTGGGGAAAAAAATCCATTGTGTCAGTCTCTCTTTTCAATTTTTTATGTTTTTACCGCGCTCCATCGTAATTTCTATAGGTTTCCCACATTTTTTTCAATCTATAGGATTTGAGGTGCTATGACACTGCAATCCTGTATTTTTCATGCAATTGTGTTTTGAGAATATTGTGTTTCCGAAGGAGCCCTTAATTTGTGTAAGGTAAAAAACTTAGGAATTCAAGTACATGAATAGTGAAAATTTTGTGTTGTTTGGATCACATGGAAAAAAATATACGAGAGAGACATACAAAGCCATGAATGGAAAAAAAAACTGAGAGGAGGAGGAGAATTTCCTTTGGCTCACACAGTCACACTGAATGCTTTTCTTTCCTATGGAAGTGGAGGATTTGCTACCTTTATATACAAAGGAATTCAACAACATATTTCCTTTGTCCCAAACAGGTCTATAGGGAAAAATTCCAAAGCAATGCAAGCCTCTAAAACTCCTTCAAAAATACATTGTTCCAAGCAGGTACTGTAGCTGAAGCCGGAAACAGAGTGCAGCTTGTCTGCCGTTGCAGCGGCTCCGGGGTCGTGGTCACTGCACCTGCACCTGCACCCCAATTTGAGCACATCGCGTAGAGTAAAATTCGTTTATTCGCTTGAGACATGAGAAGGTGTTTGGTATCTGTACTTCTCCATGGCACCTATCATCAAGTGAGAGTTCAGAAAGATTTTAGTGCTAATTTGTAATTTGAGATTAATTGGCCATCTAATCATCATCTGCTGAAGTTGTTCGGGATTTTGGACATGATGAGCCATCCTATAACATCAGGGCTCATCTTCTCATTGAGCTTGGAACTTGATTTTTAGAGAAAAGTTCAGAAACCCGGCTTTTAATTGAAAGCCGCATAGCTTGGAACTTAATACCATGAACGTAAGAAGTTTCTCGTCTACTTGTGTTGAGCTAGACGCCCATGGCTCGTACAATGATACAAATGATGGAGATGTAATGGACTATGAGGGACAATCATGCACGATATACAGTATGTTGATGTCCATTCTGAATCCCAGCCCCAATCTGACTTCCTGTGCTCGCGCTATTTTTGCACGACGGCGTTACGCTATCGAGACGGGCCCGGGGACGTGTGGGCACCCGGCACACAAAAAGATCTTACTGATGAACATCTGAATGATTGGCCTCTCCGAATTAATTGCTGAAACTATGGTGAAAGTTACAACAAAAGAATGAACGCGATTGACCTAGTAAAACTGATCAGAAAACTGGCGCAAAAACAGAGTAGAGGAGCTTCTGGCCAATTGAAGACGACGACTAGTGGGATACTGCGTTAATTATAACTAGCATGGTGGCCCGCGCAGATTACACGGCTAGTATCATTATATTTTATCTCATATAATAGCATATATGTTTTTTAATTATATTATTCAAATATATTAAAATGACAACATAATTTTATATTTTGCAATAACTTTACAAAACTACTAATGTGTAATATTCATATTGTATTTTTTATATGTGTTAGTTATTAATTATTTTTAATATCAAATTTTAGTTATTTGTAAATTATATATATTCCTAAATGGACTCTAGACTCGTCTTTTAATATTTCTTTTTTTTATTTCGAATTTTCTGTAAATTGTATTTCTATATGGACTCTACGCTCTTCTTCCAATATTATTTATTTTTATTTCTGAATTTTTATTATTTCTAATTGTATTTCTATGTGGGCTCTAAACTCATCTTTCAATATTCTTTAATTTTTAATTTCGAATTTCAGTTACTTCTGAATTGTATTCCTATATTGACTTTAAACTCTTCTTCCCATGTTTTTCTTAATTTCAAATTTTAGTTATTTGTAAATTATTTTTTATACGGACTCTAAACTCTACTTTTAATTTTATTATATTTATTTTAAATTTTAGTTAGTTTTAAATTCCTATATGGACTCTATATTCTACTTCTAATATTCCTTATTTTTTAATTTTGAATTTCTATTATTTTCTTAATTGTATTTCTATATGGACTCTATACTCTACTTCTAATATTCCTTATTTTTAATTCCGAATTTCTATTATTTCCTAATTGTATTTCTATATGGACTCTATACTCTATTTCTAATATTCCTTATTTTTAATTCCGAATTTCTATTATTTCCTAATTGTATTTTTATATGGACTCTATACTTTACTTCTAATATTCCTTATTTTTAATTCCGAATTTCTATTATTTCCTAATTGTATTTCTATGTGGACTCTATACTCCACTTCTAATATTCCTTATTTTTAATTCCGAATTTCAGTTATTTCATAATTATATTTCTATATGGACTCTAGTTTCCTCTTCTAATATTCCTTATTTTTTAATTCTGAATTTTAGCTATTTCTAAATTGTATTTCTATATGGACTCTGTTTTTTCTTTTTCTCCGATTAATGTGAGAATTTCTAGGCCATGAGAGCGAACGTGGAGGCTCCTTTTTCTATTCCTTTAATAATATAATAGATAGATTGTTATGGCGATGATAACCCCATCCACTGGATAAACTTGTAAGCTACTCCCTCCATCTCAAAATATTTAACGCCGTTGATTTTTTTAAATGTTTGACCATTCGTCTTATTTAAAAAAATTAAGTAATTATTAATTCTTTTCCTATCTTTTGATTTATTGTTAAATATAATTTTATATATACATATAGTTTTACACATTTTACAAAAGATTTTGAATAAAACAAACGGTCAAATATGTTTAAAAAAGTCAACGGCGTCAAACATTTAGAGAAGGAGGGAGTACTTCCTCTGTTTTATAATGTAAGACTTTCTAGCATTGTTCACATTCATATATTTCCCCCGTTTCATAATATAAGTCATTCTAGCATTGTCTATAGATGTTAATAAATCAGTATGACTTATATTATAAAATAGAGGGAGTACAATATACCTGTTATGGTGAGGCACAGAGGAAGTTCCTTGAAGAATCTGAGTACAGTCAGGACCTATCATAGTATCTTGTACCACTATCGGAAAATTTGGGAGGTAGTACGGAGTAGTATACTAGGACTATGTCATTTTTGTTTCCTTTCCAGAAGAAATTAGTTAAGTTTCTTTTTTTTTTGAAGGGAAGTTAAGTTTCACACCAGTGAGCAGCTAACACACTAATGAAATGGGAGAATTATATAGTATTTATATACTCAACGGATACATCAAGTTGGCCCATCAAGCAGACTTAACAACGGGAGTACATTATGTTATCTATCAACCGGGTCTGTATTTCTTTCTTCTTTTTTTTTAAAGAAGCCTGTATTTCTTTTTTTTTTCTTTGCCTGATGAATAAGAATCAACAAGAAAAACAAGCACCATGGCCCATGGGATATCACCTCTACCTTTTCTACTCTTTAATTGCAACAACGATAGGGGAAGACAAATAATAACCATGTGACGTTAATTTTTTCTTCACGAACATACAAAAAGGATTACACGTAGTTCTATAAGAATAAAGTAGTAACATGTTACACAGCGTGACAGTAAGAAGCCATCGCAGCGAGGATGTCAAACTAATATATATATTCAATGAACTTTTGTGAGAGTTCCAATCCCAATCCTGCGTATCTAGACATCGACTAGTTTAGTACATGGAACAAACAGAACTTCTGTTCAATCTATATAGTATAGAAATCGATTTGTGGGACCCACTAGAACCCACACGTAAAGAAAATCTCAGCCTCTCCCGCGTCTTCCTCTCTCACGCTCACCCCTAACGTTTCTTTATTCGGTTGTATGCGACTCCTATCTGGAACTCGATTTTTTCACTGACACACATGATTCGACTCCCACAGTGTATTTGGTTTGGCCTTTTCATGCTAGGTTAGATATAATCCTCACGTTGGATGTGCTCTTAGACGCATCTGGCTAGGAGGTTCCCCTGAAAACATCAAACAGGAAAAACTATGGAAGCAGGGGAATTCTGAGAGAGAAAACGACAGACAACTGCTCTTGTGCAGTACTCCCTTCTGCTATTGCGAGCTGAAGAATCCCGTAGTTCTCTCTTCTTGTAAGGGTACATCATGACAGAAGAGAATGGTGCATAGTTGCTTGAAGGGGACAGGGTCATTGTCCAATGTCCACACCAGGATTGTTCAGATTCTGCGAACAAAGGTCACACGTAATCCCAATCCCGTCTTGGGCCAGCATACATAGGCCTCACGGAGCCCGCATTACCGTTCCGGCCCAACACGTATAGGCCGCACGGAGGTCGAGCTCCCGTTCCGGCCCAGTACGTACGGTGGCGCGTGGCTTTTGGTCGCCACGGTGTACAGGAATCTCTGGTGCGAGCAACGCCGCACCAACCGTCCGCGTCGTCCGAGATAAGTAGCTTCTAGACACGAGAGGGCGCGATCAAACCAAGCCAAACTAATTCTCGTATCTGCATGAGCTACACTGGTCAGTGGTCGCTGCACGCTCCCTGATCAGCTACGCCCATGCATCTACTCAGCGGCTGCGTCGTCGCCACGGCCGTCGTGCTCGTCCTCATCAGCCTCGGCGCCGCGCCACCGGCGGCCGTCGACGCGGCGACGGCCACGTTCATCTACGCGGGCTGCTCGCCGTCCAAGTACGAGCCCAACACCGCATTCCAGAGCAACCTCAACTCGCTCCTCTCCTCCATCGCCTCCACCGCGTCCTCGGGCGCCGCCTACAACAGCTTCACCGCCGGCGGTGGCGCCGGGCCGGACCCGGCGGCCGGCACGGCCGCGTACGGGCTGTACCAGTGCCGCGGCGACCTGAGCCCCGGCGACTGCGTGGCGTGCGTGCGGCAGACGGTGGCGCGGCTGGGCGCCGTGTGCGCCAACGCGTACGCCGCGTCGCTGCAGGTGGACGGCTGCTACGTGCGGTACGACGCCGCGGACTTCATCGGCCGCGCCGACACCACCACGGCGTACCGCAAGTGCAGCTCCAGCACGAGCCGCGACGGCGCGTTCCTGAGCAGCCGCGACGGCGTCCTCGGGGAGCTGCAGGCGGCGGCCGGGTACAAGCTGAGCACCTCCGGCACGGTGCAGGGGGTGGCGCAGTGCCTCGGCGACGTCCCGGCGAACGACTGCACCGCCTGCCTGGCCGAGGCAGTGGGGCAGCTCAAGGGCGCGTGCGGCACGGCGCTCGCCGCCGACGTCTACCTGGCGCAGTGCTACGTCAGATACTGGGCAAATGGTTACTACTTCCGCCCTAATTCAGGTATGCGACATTGTAATTAACCAACCAAGCATGTCACGTACTACTAATCGCGTGCACGTTCTAACTATTCATTTCTTCCTATAAGTTGGAATAATAGTTAACCTTTCTTATTATAATTTATATCGAACATTTTTTTTAGTATTTGGAGAAGTTTGAAGTGCACGAATAATTCGAATATTTAGTATTTCAAAAAGCAGGGGCGATCCAAATCTTAAAAGAGAACCTGTGTGTAAGGGCCCTACCTAATGGGCAAAATGGTAGTAGTTGGCTAGATAGTGATCACTAGTGAGTGAGGTGAGGTCTCTATGGAAGTGAGAATAAGATTCCAAACTGGTAAACTTCCAAAGCTGATAAAGAGGACACGAAGAATATATTCACCGGCATAAACTTTTCGACCCTTTTGGATCGATGTTAATTAAGTATTTAACACTCAAGACTTGATGAGGCGTTCTAGCTCATTTAGTCGTCTAGCTTAGCGCTTTTTAGCCGCTATGGAGAAAAGCTAGCGCGCGTTTGCTCCCCGTGCGTGCGTGCGGATCGCTTTGCATATATATGGTTGTTAATTAGTCATCATCTCCCTTTGGCTTGGTGACAGATAACTCTGGAGACGATGTTGGGAGGACTGTGGCGATAATAATCGGTATCTTGGCTGGACTGGCACTCCTCGTGGTGTTTATTTCTTTCCTCAGGAAAGCATGTAAGTTCTCTGAATTATGTCCACAGAGAGATACACTTTAATATAGCCAAGTAGCTAACCAATTTTCCAATGCACTATACGCAGGTTAGCAGCTGTCGGCGTAGCCAGCTTGGGTTGAGGACGTGAACAACAGGCGATCGAACTCCATTCACGGCATCGCATTCATTTTGTTAGTTATAGCAGAGATTCACTGATGCTCTACTTGCCTGAGATGCACTGTCTTGTTTCAGTCGGTCTGCAGTCTGCAAAGAAAAAGAGGTTGATCTGCGTGTAACGTACCATTTGTTTGGGTTGCACTGAAGATTGGAGTATTGAACTGCAACGGCAGTTCTCTCCTCACTGCCGAGTTCAGCTACAACTTACTCCATCCGTCCCAAAATAAGTGCAGTTTTAGCACTGTTCATGTCCAACGTTTGACCGTTCGTCTTATTTGAAAAAAGATTATAATTAGTATTTTTATTGTTATTAGATGATAAAACATGAATAGTACTTTATGTGTGACTAATTTTTTTAATATTTTTTATAAATTTTTTAAATAAGACTGATGGTCAAAACGCTGAGCACACATATCTGACTGCATTTATTTTGGGACAGGGTAGCACTTTCGTACCTACACAATTCACATCTTGCTTGCTGCGCTGGAGATTGAAACAATACACGTAACGTACGGCCGCGTTGCCAGCCCACTACAAATCACCATGGCCCCGTGCCCTGGCCCACATAAATCCTGTTCTCGACCAACTAGAATGGGCCTCAGGTAAGTCGCAATTCGTTCCCAGCCCACTACAAATGGCCCAACGCAATCCTAACCATGCAGGGAATAAGTCCACTTTAACTCCCTTAACAGTGACCCGAATTTAATCCATGACTCTCAACCGTAAAACCAGATAGGAAGTCTATCCGGTTAAAGTGCACTTTCTATCTAGTTTTACAGTTGAGAGTCATGTATTAGATTTAGGTCATTTTTAAGGGAGTCAAAGTAGACTTGTTCCAACCATGCAGTCCCCCGAGACGGGAGAAAGGAGCAGCCGGACTCGGTCCACTAAAAGAAGGGTTAACTGGATCGAGCGCATCTCAAGCAAGCAGAGCGCCTCCTCTTGCCGTCCTTCGTCCAGGAGGACTTCAGCTGCCGCAGCAGCAGTGGCGCAGGTAGGGAGGTGCCAAAGGGTGCCAACACCCTCCTATCTAAACACTATCACCATTACACCCCTATGTTTTTACTCTATATTAAGTTAGCTAAGATAAGTATTTATCTAGTTTATTTTGTATAGTTTGAAAGTATTATCAGTTTAGTTAGTTAGCAAGTCTAAAAATATTAGCAAAAAACATGATATACAAAATTAGTTTGTGATTTATCATCTTTTTCAAAGTAAAATAAATGATACTTATTTGTAAGATTATTTAATAGTTTACATTAAAAGAATTTAGCAAAAAAGACTAGTTTCAAACTTTCAATGATATTATTAAAGAGCTAAAATTCAAGTTTTTCTTAAAGAGCTACGTATTGCTTATTATTGACGGTGACTATTTAACCTACTTTACTATGTAAAAACTCTCTTTATATAAAAGCTGGGCCATCTGGCCTTCTATCAAAAAAAAAAAGTTCCAGAAATCATTCTCGTTGAATCGTAGTATAGCTCAAATATGAATAGAGGTAGAAATTAATGACCAGAATTTACTTTCCCAATTAGCTAGTAAGAGCATCTATGATAAAATCCATCAGCATGATATAACATGAATGGAGGGGAAATGTGACATTAAATTTTATGAAGGATAAAAAAGTGATATCATGCAGATCTAGCCAATGGCTAGGCAGATGAAGACAAACAGGAGCATTGCCGTTTGCTATACAGGAGGAATGAGTACAACCAATAAACTCATCCCAAAGCCACCTGTTTCAACCTTGTGAGCCAATGAGCTGATCAGCTGAACATGGGAAAATGAGGGAAGAGAAGTACCTGATTCAGCAAGAAGACCCCATGGGAACAGAAAAAAGGTATAGGCCAGGAAGACACGAATGAATGGGCTGCTTGTGTGCAATGAAACAATCTCACTGAAGGAGAAACAATTGTGTCGGTTTGTGTCCAATAAATCAAGATGAAGATTGGCGAATCCAGCTGTTGTGCTGCAACAATTAGTTTCATAGAAAAAGGGGAGGCTAAAATGCCTGCTAAAATGCTGCATCGAACCGAAGCCACCAGATGAGTTGGACATGATTACATGAGCCCTTTTACAGATGGAAACCGCGCTAACAGGGGAAAGGGATTTGATGGATCTTTGTATCTGGACCAGGAAGAAACGTTTTCGTGGGTATGGATGAACAACTTGTTAGTGCCATTGCTACCAGGTATACATGTATCCTGTAGGATAGTAGTTGGACGTGGGTGTAGCCGCGTAGGCGAACAGATTGATTCGTTGTGTTGTTGCTTGTTTGTGGGAGCTCAGCATGCAAGAAGATCCTTTAATAGCTGCCCTTCCAGTTCTTTTCCTCTTATATTCCTTGAGAAGTGGAAGAGGCTGTTGGTTTCGCAGAGGGAGAGACCGTAGGATGGTGGAACCATGGAAGATGAACCAAATGACAGTTTTTGATCGAGCCATCAAGGAGGAGGCGAATCGATGAGGGGAAGAGGACTCGACAACGCACGATGGAGGAAGGAGGAAGAGGAAAGGTTCACTGGCTGGCCCAGGTGGGAAAATTGGGCTGGGCTCAGCGAGCAAGAGAAAAGGTCTCGAGGAAGCAATCTGCACCGTTAAGAACGTGAATCCAACGGATGGAATTAAGTGGTGATGTGGCTTAACCTCAAAGCAGGAAATTGCTAATAACTATACTAAGTGGGGATGATTTGTATAGGTATATAGGATTCGGTCTAATGGTTTATCTTTACTCCACACCCTCTAATCTCAAATCTTGGCTTCGCCCCTGCGCAGCAGCCTCGTCGTTGTTGACATTTCCGCCTTGCTGCCCACAAGTGCGCCCGAGGTTGACCTAAAGACGCACTGTCTGAAGAAGTTAGCACCCCCTCTGTCCCTTGTGTGCCTCTAGTGCTCCCGATCTGGGACGCCATGGCCCCAATCCAGCCATTGTGCCGCTGCCAGCCCTTAGATTGGGCTTCGGAAAGCACCATTTCGACGCCCATAGCCAGGTGAAGGACTTCATCGCCATCATCCTCCTCAAACTCACTCTCTCACCACCCTGAAATGGTTCAGCTTGTCTTCGAGTGGTACATGTTTCTCGTGCTTGCGCCCAACGACGAGGTGATGAGGTGATAGGGAGAGAGAAAGGGGAAGGAAGAAGAGGATAGAGGAAGAAGACGAGAGTAATTTGATAAAAAAAATCTAGAAATTTCAGCGAAAGGGTAAATAACGATACATCTCGAAGGCATGTTAAGTTGTAATGGCATACTTCCAATTTCTTAAATAATAATGATATTTTTTCAAACTTGTAAATTTATAATGGTCTGGATTTAATTAACCCTTAAAAGAATCCATTTGCCCTACATGGGTTAAATCCATTTTCAACCCAAAAACACCAAACCAAATCCAACCCACGCCAATCCAAATATCCAATCCATTTGAGGCAGCAATCTATTTTCATCCAACCAAAGGCAATCGGAACTAGAAACCAGTCTATTTAACCCATTCTAACCCAGTCCATTAGCAGGCCTATATGAAAACCGGAACTAGAAACCAGTCCATTTAACCCATTCTAACCTAGTCCATTAGCAGGCCTATATAAAAACGCTCAGAGGTCTTCTTGCTACCTTCACAAGGTGATGTGTTAGATAACTTAGGTTTAAAACCTCACCCCTCTTCTATTCATTTGATATTAACGAGTTGCGACGCCGCAGCAAAGTTGTGCTCAGGCGAACTTCATTCAGTTCGAAACACAAGTTCTACCTTGCTATCTCGATCTCAGCATTCTCAGCTATCAAATACACGATCAATTCCCGGGCATGTAAAAGCACACGATTCATTCATATACTCGTATATACAGGGCATCTATATTGCACACATAGAGGTACAGTAGCATACAGCGGTACATCCTTGGACGGTTATTTGCAGTCCTGAAGGTATTGTTTTGAGGAAGTACGAGTACAAGGCATAAGTTTTGAGGCTATATCACGTGTTGCGGCAGATCAAGCACTGTACCCCTGCACCAGCGAGCTCCATCTACCCGAGTTGTGACTGCTGCAAGTAGCGATGCTTGCTTCCTTCATTGAAGCGCCAGAGATACCGTTGTTGCAAATATTAGCAAACGCCCTCATGTGCTTCATACCGTACTGAGTGAGCGGTCCGCAATGCGACTCAAAGATCCGTACCTGAAGAAACTCATATTAAAGTCAGACAAACAGAAACAATGGAAACTAGGAGATTTCAGGACAATATGGAACTATTGGAGCGCAGTGGAGTAATAGCAGATGTCAGTTCTCAGTAAGCCGAGTATAAAGAAGTTTCCAACTTTACCATTCTCTTCAAACAATCCCAATCATCAACGAGTGGCTGACCAGAAGGTCTAACAGCTTGAAGCACAGAAGGCCCATTTCCAAATCCAAAGAGAAGTTTTCCGACAAGATCAACACTGCTGTCAAGAAGCTTCCTATGCATAACAGTGTCACTGATCTCCCTCAGAGCTTTCAGCTTCTCTTCGGACTTGTCATGTAACAGCTCATACTGAAACCAAACAAAGAAATAAAATTAGCAACCATAGGATGGAAGCACATGACTGAAACAAATGCTTGCCCATTCACAGATTCTGCATTTAAGTTTGGTTCGCTAATAGTCTAGTGCAATTGTTCTCCAAATGGCAACAGGAGATACTTTTATAAAAAAAAATCTCTCTAAGATAATACTCCAATGAAAAGAAACTTGCGAGCAGCAGACAGCAGCACAGTTTACTAGAAACAAAGATATTTAGCTGATGTACACTACCAAGTAATTTCAACACGTCATAATGAACTTCAGTTTAGAAAAATCTCTGTAGGCTGGAATAATTTGTGACATCAAAACAAATGCAAGTGCACTCCAACCATATGGTTGTATAGAAAGGGGATTAGATAATAGCTAGTACTGGTAAGTATTTTTGGAAGGAACATAACAAACAACAAACTAAAAGTCTGCAAAAGAATAGACTAGGAAATACCCTTCTCCAGAGGAAAAGAAGATCTGCATCTCTTTGGTTGACTGCAGCCTTTGGGCCTTCCCATGATAGCTTGTTCTTAACTTCGGCATTTGCAGGGTCGAAACCTTGGTATAGGTAAAGCTTGTCATCCTTGAATGTCCTGTCCCCGTACTCCATAACATGAGAGCCAGCACCGTAGCTGTTCATGTCAGAGGTACGCTTCTTAACCTGTCAACAATGCTGTGACTACCTGGGAGTTTAACAATGAAAATTGGAAAGGTACAGAGCAAATCAAGACTTACCACTTCGTACTGCTTCTTAATTGATTCCTCCTTCAGATTGTGAGTCTCACTGCCAATTAACATCGAGATAAATTTTACATATTATAGAGTAAATACTTTGCAAACTGCATAGAAATAAGGAACATTAAAGCTGATATGTATGGAAATTTCCAATGCACATAAATACACACTTAACACAAGATATGCACATGTTCAATGCATAGAAATACACACTTAATATCCTGTCCCATACATTTAAGCTGGTCCCATGCATATAAATACACACTTAATACTCCAATTATCATTTAAAAATGATGTACAATGATGAACATGCTTTGGAAAAGAATTTGGACCTTGTGTCCCGTGCACGAGGAAGGAGTGCGTACAGGTCAGTCTCTCAACATAAAAGAAAAAAAAATAATCCTTCTATAGATGACCACATAACATCTGCATGATGCAATAAATTAAATAGTTTTTACCATTTATAGTATTATCTTCAGATTTGATTATTAAAACATTTGCCACCGAAAGTTCTACAAGAATGTACGAAAAAACCACAAACGGCATTGTGTGCAATATGTAATTCTTTACATTTCTAAAGATATGTGAAGCTACCTGTCTTCCATCCAAGAAACGCTGTATAGGTCACCTAAGCAGGTGATGTACTCGGAAGGAGGCGATGGTTCCATTCCTGGGCAGTACGTCCCCCAACTACTCTCTTCTGCATTAGACGCTGTTGTGACATAAATATTAAGGTCCTCTGGCATCAAACCTTCGAAAATACTGCCACTTTCACACGCTTCTACATATATAACCTGCACAAATATATTGCTTATTCCATCCAAGGAGGCTCTTCCACAAATAAGTAACCAAGAAAAATCTTACCATTTTAGCGTAAGTATTGGAGGCATGTTTTTCTTGTAACACCTTCATGAAGTCAGCAGCATAAAGATATGGCAGATTGGGCATACCTGAGAATTGGACATGTCAACATGCATGATGGACAAAATTTAACTCAAAGAGCAAAGCAGCATATGCAACTATCACATACCAAGAACTCCAGGACCCCCATGATCAGAGTAGAAGATAAATATGTGGTCATTTGGTTTGCTATCTATGACCTTCCTACTACCCCCAGTAACTGCAGTTTTATTGCCCAAGAGAACCGCGTAAAAGTTTTTTGCAGTGACTTCGTCTCCAGTGTAATCCTGGAATTATAGAGTGTGTTATCTTCATCAAACTTAGAGAAAAAGGTCAATATATATGTTATGCACTTGTGCCATGTACACGCAAATCTGAAGCCACCTGAAGCTAATAAAGAAGTGCAAAAGGGTAAATAATTGGACATAAGACCCTAACAGTCCTCTCTCCAGCCCGAGGAACGAATAACAGTGAGGCAGTACGGCATCGTGTAATACCTTCGGAACTCCTGCATAAACATCTTCACCCTGTGGATGATTGACAATAACCCCTGGTCTCGGGTTAAGTATATTATTGGCAATGTCGTCATACATAAACACGACAATGTTCTCCTCCTTTAGCCCTCCCTTCCGTAATATCTGGTATGCATGGCATACATCAGCCTGCAAAGTGCAAACACACCCAAAAAAAAAAAAACATCAAACCTCAAGCAAACAGTCCTTGGAGAAATAAACCATTTGTTGGTCTCAATTCCTTCTAAATTTGAAACGAAACAATATAAATACAAACTTGCTATGAGCCTGTCTCTTTCTGCTACATATATTTCAGTAAAAATTAATCACTGAAGTATTAGCCACTAAATATTTCAGCTGATATTTCTTTCGTATTAAATTGATCCCTCCATTTTAAACTCATCATATGTTGTGCCATTTTTTTTCTCAATCTGTCTTAAACATGGATATTACTAGAACTTAGAACCCAGAAAAAATTGAAAACTTCAAATTCGTTTGCTTATCCAGAATTATATTGCTGCTCACGCCATTTTCTTCCTTGAAATGAGTCTAGGCATCAGTCTGTTGAACTTCCTGACAAAAAGACTAAGTACAACTTGGATAGCGATGTGTGCAAATCATGCTGAGATTGAACTACTAGCACTCTGCAGTCCGCACACACTCACATGATCAAACGTACATAGATCAAGGCGCATCGTCAGGGGTTTGACACCATCGCAACCTTGGTAGCATGGACAATTTGGAAGGAGAGAAACAATAGAGTTTTCAATCAAACCAGCAGATCTTGGGTGGACATCGCTCGGGCCATGACAGGCGAAGCTGATCTTTGAAGGCTGGCTAGGGCAGCCATTCCTAGCGTAGTAATCCATGCGGATAGGGAGGGGTCGCCAAATGATTTTGGAGATTAGGCTTTAGTACTCTTGATCCTCTCCTGTATCCCATCCCCATCTTGTTTTGCTTTTGTTCCCGCCTTATACATAAACTTTATTTCTTCTTAATACAATGATGTGCTCCTTGCGCATTCCCAAAAAAAAGATCCTGGGGCTGCTTTCAGTAGTTCACTTCTCATCAAGCCCAAATCGTTAACTTATTGCTCAGTTAATTTCTTTTTTTTTGACGGAAAATTGCTCGGTTAATTTCAGTACTGAAGGCAAACCTTTTCGTTTTCAAAAGCTAAAAACCGAAAATTTTGGAGCATTGAAGTACTCATGGCACGACAAATTGAACATATAAATCTTTAAATTCATGAATACTAAAGATCTCGTTACGAATGATCTGAACGACTTTCAGAAACGGCTGCCCATAGCTACACAGCCTCACAGCAGTTCCACGCTGCATCATCATCCAAGCCCCCCAAATCGAGCTCCAGACGCGCACGAACTAAGCGACGGCGAAGCCGACGACACTGGAGTACTGGACCCGTGCGCTTACCTGGTGCCTGTAGTTACCGTAGCCGGAGGAGCCCGCGACGAGCACCGCCCACCTCGTCCCGACGCCGTCCTTCTCCTCCTCCTCGGTGCCCTCGCTGCCGCGCGGCACGGTGGCCACCTCCTCCTCCACCACCTCCCCCGGCATCCGAATCACCGGCTCCCACGTCCGCTTGGCTCCGGCCCCCGCCGCGGCCGCCGACAGCGCCAAGAGCAACGCGAAGCACCACCGCGCCGCCATATCCCTCCCCTCTTCTCCGCGCGCGACAATACCACGCCTACGACTCTACGGGACACCGAGGTGGTTGAAGGGAAGCACCGAAGTAGGCGCCGCGCCATGCCGCCATGCAAGGAGGGTAGCCTGCGGCGCGGACGCGTGGGGCGTGAGGTGGACAGGTGGCGCCGCCGCCGCTTCGTCGTCTTCTGCAGCCACGGCAACCGCCGCCCGCCGCCTCGGCGTGCGTGGCCCAGCCCAACTAAAACAAGTCAAGCCGCGAAGTTAACACGGGCCGGACCAACTGATGAGAAACCAGCCCAGCCCACATTGGAGACTGTACGGCGGACAAAGCGGAGAGTTACATCACGCTAAAGAGTTCGCTTCCATGAGGAGAAAGCGTAATAAGCGTTAATAGTACTAAGCGGAAGCTTCGAGAACCCTTGAGAGAGATCCGACGGCCCACGCCACGCCGCAACAATCATAGTGGTCGCCGATTTTATAAAACTTCATCTTCTCCGAGACCTTAATCCCCCATCTAACCCCAGACTTTTCCTCCCCTCCTCCCTCTCCTCCGGCCCCGCCGCCAGAGCCCTTCCAGAAGCTTCCGGAGCCCGCGCCGCCGATCTGATCGCCGCCGCGTGCCATGGCCGACGAGGCGAAGGCGAAGGGTAATGCGGCCTTCTCGGCCGGCCGCTACGAGGAGGCGGCGCGGCACTTCACTGACGCCATCGCGCTCGCCCCGGGGAACCACGTCCTCTACTCCAACCGCTCCGCCGCGCTCGCCTCGGTCCACCGCTACTCCGAGGCGCTCGCCGACGCCGAGAAGACCGTCGAGCTGAAGCCCGACTGGGCTAAGGGGTACTCCCGCCTCGGAGCCGCCCACCTCGGCCTCGGCGACGCCGCGAGCGCCGTCGCCGCCTACGAGAAGGGCCTCGCCCTCGACCCCACCAACGAGGGCCTTAAGGCCGGCCTCGCCGATGCCAAGAAGGCGGCCGCCGCCCCGCCGCGCCGCCCGCCGCCCAGCGGCGTTGACGGCATAGGCCAGATGTTCCAGGGGCCCGAGCTCTGGACCAAGATCGCCTCCGACCCGACCACGCGCGCATACCTCGAGCAGCCCGACTTCATGCAGATGCTGCGGGATGTGCAGAGGAACCCCAGCAGCCTCAACATGTACCTCTCCGATCCCCGGATGATGCAGGTGCTCGGCCTCATGCTTAACATCAAGATCCAGAGACCAGAGGCCTCTGAATCGTCGCAGCCCAGCTCGTCGCCGCCGTCGCAGCCGCAGGAGCAGCCCGAGGCGAAGGCGAGGGAGGTGGAGCCAGAGCCTGAGCCGGAGCCGATGGAGGTGACCGATGAGGAGAAGGAGCGGAAGGAGAGGAAATCGTCTGCTCAGAAGGAGAAGGAAGCGGGGAACGCAGCTTACAAGAAAAAGGACTTCGAGACCGCGATCCAGCATTACACAAAAGCCATGGAACTTGATGATGAGGACATTTCCTATCTTACCAACCGTGCAGCGGTCTACATTGAGATGGGAAAGGTGAGGTTTATGATACTTTAACATTCAATGCACTGCTTGCTGATTTATGATCTCTTTGAGTTAGTCCATTGCTAAAGATAAATTGCTTTGCTTTCTGTAGTATGGGCCTGTGGGGATTGATAGTTGTTCATTTGTTTGGACTTGCAAGAGATTAGGTGTTGACCCTTAAATGCATATTGGCTAGTTATTGTGAGGATTACCTGTTTATTGTTTTGCTTAACTGTTAGTTTTCTGAACTAGTGTAAGGATGGTCGGGTTCTATATATATAAGTGACTAGCAGTCATGACACCACATTAGGGCAGTTGATAAAGCCTACAACAGATGCCAAGTAAATTAAATATTTATGTTAACCAAGTGATGCAAACACATCAAATGTCCTGTTTAGTGTCAAAAGAAGATTGAATTTTGTATATTTATATTGCTTGTGCTTTTGTTAGTTGATTTATCTGCAGTTCTTACTGACTTGCAAGTTAACTACTTGAGGATCTTTCCACAACATCTAGTTAGATCTCTGAGGAGTAATTCCATAGGTGGTCTTACAATCACACAAAACACATGGGATTCAGAATTAATGGAAAGCTCAAGATTAAGAGAGAAGAAAGTCATAAACGCTACATACAAACCTGATTGATATGATCCCTATGCGAACTTTAGATAAAGCATTCAATCAGCCTTAAGCTGTAAATGCATTCGTTTTGGTCTATTTATTTAGATTTAGCGACTTTTGAAATTTATTTATGTTGATCCTAGTTCTACTGGTAGCTCTGTTATACTTCCTCCGTTTCATAATGTAAGTCATTCTAGCATTGCCCACATTCATATAGGTATTAATGAATCTAAATATATATGTGTCTAGATTCATTAACATTTATATGAATGTGAACAATGCTAGAAAGTCTTACATTATGAAACAGAGGGAGTACGTAGTAGTTGCAAGCTTATATACTTTTTTTTTTGTGATGCAAGTTAGTAGCAATCTGCGTTATGTCTACTATGACCATTGACCATATTACTGTACCTAACGATTTGAACATTATATCCTGGGGAACCACCGCTATTGTTTTGTCCCTCTCCTGAGAACCTCTTCACCAAAAGCTTGATTCAATCTACTTGTTAAAGGTGAACTTGAATAGTTCATCTGAAACCTGAATTTCGTCTTTGCTCAAAAAGAGCTTAATGGATTTCACCAATAAAAGTTCACGCAGATAGGAATTATTGTGCAAATTGTTCCATAGGTCATAATCGAAAATTTTGTTGCTAGATAGTCACCTTCAATGGTAGTTCCATGTTTTCTTTAATGAGTATGACATTATGCCTCTATGCAAGTTATGTAACATGCGGATTCTTGTAAACAACATGGTTGTTTTCTTCTAATTTGTTCTAATATCACTTGCAAACTCCAGTACGATGAATGCATTAAGGACTGTGATAAGGCTGTGGAGAGGGGAAGGGAACTTCGTGCTGATTTCAAGATGATCTCAAGGGCACTGACAAGAAAAGGAACAGCCCTAGCCAAACTTGCTAAGACCTCTAAGGACTATGACATTGCCATTGAGACTTTCCAGAAGGCTCTAACTGAGCATCGGAATCCAGACACTCTAAAAAAGCTAAATGAGGCTGAGAGGGCAAAGAAAGAGTTGGAGCAACAAGAGTACTATGATCCAAAGTTAGCAGATGAAGAGAGAGAGAAAGGTATGGGATCCAGTAGGGTATCATGCTGTCATCTCTAGTTCTCCCCCCTGCTTTATTTATGTCCTCACCTGTCCCTTGCAGAGATTTCCCTTGCTGCCATATTTTTTAGAGTTGCAATGTGCCATTTGTAGGTTGACTGGCTAGCTAATCCTTATGGTTTGTAGGTAATCAGCTTTTCAAGGAGCAAAAATATCCAGACGCGGTAAAGCATTACACTGAGGCTATCAGGAGAAATCCTAAGGACCCGAAGGTAATTTCTTTTGGCCCTATTGCTTGAACTTGCTTGTTCGAACTTTGGAAATATAAATAATGTACTCGGTTTCTTCATTTTCTTGTGTTTTGAAGTTTGACTTGGATCATTGTTTGTCATGTGTGTATGTGTGAGTTTCAACTATATATTACGCACCATCTAATCTATCTGTATGTATGCATAACAAAAACGTCTTTTGTGTATTACTGTTTTGGATTGCTCTATATCATCATTATCCTAAATTACTGTCATTTTTATTTATCACCTGTTTGCATGCATCCCTTAACATAACTGCTTGGGGTTTCAATTATCTACAGGTGTACAGCAATAGGGCTGCATGCTACACCAAGTTGGGAGCCATGCCTGAAGGTCTTAAAGATGCAGAGAAGTGCATTGAACTAGATCCCACCTTCTCCAAAGGGTATACAAGGAAAGGTGCAATTCAGTTTTTCATGAAAGAATATGACAAGGCAATGGAAACTTACCAGGCCGGTTTGAAGCATGATCCGAATAACCCGGAACTGCTGGACGGTGTGAAAAGGTACAGAAGCGTCATAGCACAAATCACTAGTGATAGTTATTCTTATGATTGTATCCTCTTTGCTCCTAATGAGTTAGGGCATCGCATGAATCCGTCTCACCTCCTTGTTTCCCCAATAGAATCCAAGCGCACTCACCTTTTTGTTTGCATAAACCAACTCTGAACTATTGCACATGTTTGCAGGTGTATCGAACAGATCAACAAGGCCAACAGGGGTGATTTGACTCAGGAAGAGATTCAGGAACGACAGGTAAGCCTGTTGCACTTTTCATGCCCCTTGTTGCTTTAAAAGTTAAATACTGTACAACTGTATTAACTGGTCCTTTTTTTTTTGTGTAGAACAAGGCTATGCAGGATCCAGAGATCCAGAATATTCTTACAGATCCCATCATGCGACAGGTAACACAGAATATTTGTTCTTAGCTGAAATTTAGATGTCAGTTCATAAAGTATCACAAATACCTGTCTGTCCATAATCTTAATGATATCGAAAATGTTTTGCAGGTACTGGTCGATTTGCAGGAGAACCCTAGGGCTTCTCAGGAGCATCTTAAGAACCCTGGAGTGATGCAGAAGATTCAGAAGCTTGTAAGCGCTGGAATAGTTCAAATGAGATAGTCGACCAAAGCAAGAAGCGCTGTTCGTGTCTATGTTCATTGCTCCTTACTTTTTTTCCATGCTCAGTCTTTGTGGACTTAAGATTTACACAGTTTGGGGCTAATCTTCATTCTCAATTGGATTATGTGAGTGCAGCGTGTCACTGGATTATTAGTGGTTATGGCATCCGTGCTACAGCTGCACGTGCAAACGTATGTCTCTATTTGTTAGTCCTAAACATTTTCCCTACCGAATGAAAATAGAGCCATAAGAGGTGCAGAAATAGTCGATTGCTTTTATTTACTGGGTCTAGTAAAGTGCATATATTCGAGCGTTCAATTTTTTATCGGTTTTGGTCATGGGTCTGGCCATTCCTTAATTTTTCAGGTTTCATTTGTGATTGCCGAACATGATCTGCGTTTTGAATCTCTAGCCACCACAATTCTAGACTTCTTGAAAGGATCTTGAGGACTATCCTCGTTATGTGCCAATCTTTGAGGAAGAAATTCAGTTTAAAGGCATTTCTTCATATTGGACTGCAGGTTTTTACTTCTAGGAGCACTAATAGGGTGCCCGTTGAAAAATCACAGAATGAAATGATATTGAATAATCATTGAGTGTACACTCAATCGGCTGTAACACCTAAATCCAA